AAAAAAAAAATTAAAATCCTGACATTTAGCTATTTTGAAATATACAGTACATTTTTGTTTCTTTTCTTCTTTTTTTGAATAAAGACAGGGTCTCACTCTGTCGCCCAGGCTAGAGTGCAGTGGCACCATCTCGACTCACTGTCACTTTCATCTCCCAAGTTCAAATGATTCTCTTGACTCAGCTTCCCAAGTAGGGGGCACCACAGACATGCACCACCATGCCTGGTTAAGTGTTGTATTTTTAGTAGAGATGGGGTTTCACCATATTGCTGAGGCTGCTCTTGAACTCCTGACCTCAAATGATCTGCCTGCCTTGGCATCCCAAAGTGCTGGGATTACAGGTGTGAGCCACCATGCCCGGCCTAATTATTTTTGGGAGAGAATCTTGCTCTGTTGCCCAGGCTAGAGTGCAGTGGCACAATCTCAGCTCACTACAACCTCCACGTTTCTGGTTCAAGTGATTCTCCTGCCTCAGCCTCCCAAGTAGGTGGGATTACAGGCACGTGCCACTAAGCCCAGCTAATTTTTGTATTTTTAGCAGAGACAGGGTTTTGTCATGTTGGCCTCAACTGATCTGCCCACCTTGGCCTCCCAAAGTGCTGGGATTACTGAAGTGAGCCTCCATGCATATTTTATTTAAACAATCTGCCTCAAAGCCAGTCATTTCCAGACAATTCTATTTTATCATTGCTATTCCTTTTTTTGAGATGGAGTCTCACTCTGTCACCCAGGCTGGAATGCAGTAGCACGATCCCAGCTCACTGCAACATCCAGCTCCCAGGTTCAAGCAGTTCTCTTGCCTCAGGCTTCTGAGTAGCTGTGACTACAGGCATGCACCACCACACCCAGCTAATTTTTATATTGTTAGTAGAGATAGAGTTTCACCATGTTGGCCAGGCTGGTCTTGAACTCTTGACCTCAGGTGATCCACCCACCTTGGCCTCCCAAAATGCTGGGATTACAGGTGTGAGCCACCATGCCTGGACTTATTGCTGCTATTCTTTTTTTTTTTTTTTTTTTTTTTTTTTTGAGACAGAGTGTCGCTCTTGTTATCCAGGCTGGAGTGCAATGGCGCGATCTCGGCTCACCGCAATCTCTGCCTCCTGGGTTCAAGCAATTCTCCTGCCTCAGCCTCCTGAGTAGCTGGGACTACAGGCAGGCGCCATGCCCAGCTAATTTTTTGTATTTTTAGTAGAGACGGGGTTTCACCACATTGACCAGGATGGTCTCGATCTCTTGACCTCATGATCCAACCGCCTCGGCCTCCCAAAGTGCTGGGATTACAGGCTTGAGCCACCGCGCCCGGCTCTTTTTTTTTTTTTGAGACGAAGTTTCCGTTCTTGTTACCCAGGCAGGAGTGCAATGGCGCGATCTCGGCTCACTGCAACCTCCGCCTCCTGGGTTCAGGCAATTCTCCTGCCTCAGCCTCTTGAGTAGCTGGGATTACAGGCACGTGCCATCATGCCCAGCTAATTTTTTTTTAAATATTTTTTAGTAGAGACGGGGTTTCACCATGTTGACCAGGATGGTCTCGATCTCTTGACCTCGTGATCCACCCGCCTCGGCCTCCCAAAGTGCTGGGATTACAGGCTTGAGCCACCGCGCCTGGCCATTGCTGCTATTCTTAATGCCACTTCAGAACTGTCTTTTCTCCTTGACAATCTATTATTGCTTAACTATGTATACTGGACCAGAAATGCTCTTCAACAGAGGGTGGAAAACATACAGAATCTTGGAGACAGTGAGTGGGTTAACTGGTAAGTACCAGCAGAGATTCTCGTAGGAGTTCATCATAGGTGCTCAGATTGGTGAACATAAAAGAACAATAATCTTTTTTTCTTATTCATAATTATGTTACCCGTTTCATAACATGAGAGCACATACTTTATATCTGGGACTATAAGAGATTAATAGCTTTATTTTTATATCTTTTCAATCTAATAAGTTAATTCTTTTTAGGGGGGGTGATGGGATCTTTTTTTTTTTTTTTTTTTTTTTTTTTTTTTTTTTTTTTTTTTTGAGACGGAGTTTCGCTCTTGTTACCCAGGCTGGAGTGCAATGGCGCGATCTCGGCTCACCACAACCTCCGCCTCCTGGGCTCAGGCAATTCTCCTGCCTCAGCCTCCTAAGTAGCTGGGATTACAGGCATGCACCACCACGCCCAGCTAGTTTTTTTTTTTGTATTTTTAGTAGAGACGGGGTTTCACCATGTTGACCAGGATGGTCTCGATCTCTCGACCTCGTGATCCACCCGCCTCGGCCTCCCAAAGTGCTGGGATTACAGGCTTGAGCCACCGCGCCCGGCCGGGATCTTGTTCTGTCACCCAGGTTGGAGTATAGTGGCCCAATCTTAGCTCAGTACAACCTCCGCCTCCCCAGATAAAGCTATTCTCCCACCTCAACCTCTTGAGCAGCTGGAATTACATGTGCGTACCACCACACCTGTCTAATTTTTGTATTTTGGGAGAGATCGGGCGTATTGGTTCATTTTCATACTGCTATAAAGAACTACCCCACAGCCAGGTGTGGTGGCTCATGCCTGAAATCTCAGCACTTTGGGAGGCCAAGGTGGGGGGATTGCCTGAGGTCAGAAGTTTGAGACCAGTCTGGCCAAACTGGTGAAACCCTGTCTCTACTAAAAATACAAAAAAATTAGCCAGGCGTGGTGGCATGCACCTGTAATCCCAGATACTCAGGAGGCTGAGGCAGGGGAATTGCTTGAACCAGGGAGATGGAGGTTGCAGTGAGCCAAGATCATACCACTGAACTCCAGCCTGGGCAACAGAGTGAGACTCCATCTCAAAAAAAAAAAAAAAAAAAACATATCAGCTGGGCATGGTGGCATACATCTTCCCAGCTATTTGGGAGGTTGAGGCATGAGAATTGGTTGAACTCAGGAGGCGGAGGTTGTAGTGGGCTGAGATTGCACCACTGCACTCCAGCCTGGACCTGTATGTGGGAGTTGGGGAGAACTGCCTGGGACTGGACAATTTATAACAGAAAGAGGTTTAATTGACTCATAGTTCAGCATTGCTGCGGAGGCCCAGGAAACTTACAATCATGGCAGAAGGCAAAGGGGAAGCAAGGCGTCTTCTTTGCAGAGCGGCAGGCAGGAGAAGTGAGTGCAGGAGGAACTACCAAACGCTTATAAAACCAGCAGATCTCATGAGAACTCACTCACTATCAAGAACAGCAGGAGGGAAACTGCCCCCATGATTTAATTATCTCCACCTGGTGTCTTGCTTGACATGGGGAGATTATGGGGATTACAATTCAAAATGAGACTTTTGAGTGGGGACATGGCCAAACCATATCATGAAGCTTCTCCAGGCTGGTCAACTCCTGGGTTCAAGCTATCCACCCTCCTTGGCCTCCCAAAGTGCTGGAATTACAGGCATAAGCCACTGCACCTGGCCAGTCTTTTCATGTTGAAAATGTGCTGCATCTTTTTACTAACTATAAAAGGTTTGCAGCCAGGTGCAATGACTCAGGCCTGTAATCCCAGCACTTTGGGAGCCAAAGTAGGTGGACCACTTGAGGTCAGGAGTTCGAGACCAGCCCGGCCAACATGGTGAAACCTTGTCTCTACTAAAAATACAAAAATTAGTTGGGTGTGGTGGCAGGTACCTGTAATTCTGGCTGCTGGTAAAGCTGTGGCAGGAGAATCGCTTAAACCTGGGAGGCAGAGGTTGTAGTGAGCCAAAACCATGCCATTGCACCCCAGCCTGGGCAACAGAGAGAGACACTCCATCTCAACAACAACAACAACAAAAAGTTTGCAATCATCATGAACACACTGACTACAAGAACACTGAACACTGTCAAGCAAAGAAAATTCAGTTTCCCTTTATTTCTTCCAAGTTTGACTTTGAAGGAAACAAAGTTTTATTAGGCATTGTTTTTGCTCATGTGCTCAGATAGAGCAAGCTAGTAAATCTGTCAGAGAAAACTTTACATTTCCCAGGAGACTGAACATTCACACCAGCTAGCATTCCCATCAAGGAATATGAATATATCAATGTACTTATACTTGAAACTCTGCAGTTGTTGTTTCCAGTGTTTTAAGCTTTAGTTCATGTGCTTGGTGACATATGAGAGTCTTCCCTTTCGGAAGTCCAAGCAGATTGAAAAACAAATTGTGAAATCACAGGACAGCACTAAGGAGTATTGCATCACTGTTCTCCCTGCCTCAACAGCTCCACTCCTATTTTCTGTCTGGAAAGATTTCCTAATATCTGAGAGCATCATCAGTGTAAGTTGGCATTTAAAAAGACGGAAATGATTTTTAAGGCTTCCAAAGCATTTAGCCTTAAAAATCATATATGGTGCCAGGTGTGGTGGCTCACACCTGTAATCCTAGCATTTTGGAAGGCCAAGGTGGGTCGCAAGGTCAGGAGTTTGAGACCAGCCTGACCAACAAGGTGAAACCACACCTCTACTAAAAATACAAAAATTAACCGGGCATGGTGGCACGTGCCTATATACCAGCTACTCAGGCGGCTGAGGCAGGAAAATTGCTTGAACCCGGGAGGCGGAGGTTGCAGTGAGCCGAGATTGTGCCATGGCACTCCAGCCTAGGCGACAGAGCGAGACTCCATCTCAAAATAATAATAACATAAATAAAAATAAAATAAATTCATGGAACAAATTTACCACTGAAAGTTAATCTCAAATATGTTTGCGTCGTTTTTATTTATTTATTTATTTATTTATTGACATAGTGTCTTGCTCCGTTGTCCAAGCTGGAGGGCAGTGGCATGATCATGGCTCACTGCAGCTTCAAGCTCCTGGGCTCAAGATATTCTCCCTCCTCGGCCTTAAAAGTAGTTGGGACCACAAGCACACACCTCTACACTCGGCTAATTTTTTATTTTTTATAGAGACACGGTCTTGCTATCTTGCCCAGGCTGGTCTCAACCTCCTGGCCTCAAACAATCCTCCCACCTCAGTCTCCCAAAGGGTTGGGATTACAGCTGTGAGCCACCATACCAAGCCCGTTTGTGTCTTATTCCATTTGAAGCACAACTGAAAGGAACACTGTTTTGTCATCAAAACAATATTAAGATGGCATTTCTTTTATGTTACATGTTGTTTTTACTGTTTTGGTAAGTAGGAAACGAAGTAAAGTTGGTTCTAGTGATTAAAACTACCACAGTAAAAGAAAATTGCAGTGCTCTCAGTTCCAGCGTTCTTTACAGGAGGAGTGATGATAATTCATTCTCTTTGGTGTGTGCATCGCCAACCAAAGGCAGGCCCAGCAACAGCTTCTTCTATTAGAGAGACCCAAAGCTGGAAAATTTCAGATAGATTAGCTATATTATAGCCAATGGATGCAGCCCCAAAGACAATGCTGGTTCACACTGAATTTTGACATTTCACTCAACAAATAATTATTAGTATCTGCTATATTGGCTATTATTGTTATTACTATTGTCAACTTTCATGATCATTATGTTTCCAGCACAGAGATGAGTGTTCAACACATAGAAGGCAATCTGTAAGTATTTATTAAATGAACGAGTGAATGATTTAATCAAGAGTTAAAAATTACTACTTAAAGAAGAGTAATTTTGCCTTTGTTTACTGTGTGAAAACAGCACTTAATAACTAGCTATACTAAATGTATTTTCTTTCAGACCCTTCTTTACTAAAACTTTACTTTGCTTCTGTCTCTACTGCTTAGAGTCAGTGATGCCAGACACTAAGGTTCAGGTTGATTTTCTTTCTATTTGTGGATGTCATCTATATATCTGCCTTTTCAGGCAGTGAAATCATTCCAAAAGTTCTTGTTGACTGCAAGAGCTTGAAGGCTGTTTATTTGATGAGAAGACTGGCATCCATTGTGTCTTTTTTAGTGACTGAAATGTGTGACACTGGGAAAGGCCTTTATCCTCGGGTTGCCTCTGTTTATCCATCTGGAAAAGGAGAAGGACAATACTCACTTGTCTGGTATGGAAGTGATTGCCAAGGACTTTGTGATCCCCACAGAGAAGGTGACATTTTGGTAGCTATGTATTACAAATGTTCTCCTTTCATTAATATGTGTTCAGATACTAGAATACTTTGAGATATTAAGCAAAAAATTAAAAAGTAGAGATAGCCATATAGATTTTACTAATATGTGTGTGCTTCCTTTATGTGTTAATTTTACATTTGTTTATTATTTTTCTCTTTCTTTGAGACAGAGTCTCACTCTGTTGCCCAGGCTGGAGTGCAGTGCCGTGATCTCGGCTCACTGCAACCTCCTCCTCCCAGGTTCGAGTGATTCTCATGCCTCAGCCTCCTGAGTGGCTGGGACTCCAGATGTGCATCACCACACCTGGCTAATCTTCTGTATTTTTAGTACTGAGGGGGTTTTGCCATCTTGGCAAGGCTAGTCTCAGACTCCTGATCTCATGTGATCCACCCACCTCAGCCTCTCAAAGCGCTGGAATTACACGTATGAGCCACCACGCCTGGCAAACACTTGATTATTCTTTAGTCTACAATCACAGATTAGAGGCCATTTAGTCCAGTATTTCTTAAACAGGCTGTGCCTACATTCCTTTGTGTAATTTTTAAGTCTGCACACGCCCTGACCTCACTTTATTTTTTCTTGGTTAAGAAGCAAGGATTAGAACCAACCTTTCCTTTTTTAAGAAGTAGAACACTGAAGGGCAGCTGTTAAATATAGCATCAGGAAGGTCGGGCGCGGTGGCTCACGCCTGTAATCCCAGCACTTTGGGAGGCCGAGGTGGGCGGATCACGAGGTCAAGAGATCGAGACCATCCTGGTCAACATGGTGAAACCCTGTCTCTACTAAAAATACAAAAAATTAGCTGGGCATGGTGGCGCGTGCCTGTAATCCCAGCTACTCAGGAGGCTGAGGTAGGAGAATTGCCTGAACCCAGGAGGCAGAGGTTGCGGTGAGCCGAGATCGCACCATTGCACTCCAGCCTGGGTAACAAGAGCGAAACTCCGTCTCAAAAAAAAAAAAAAAAAAAAAAAAAAAATAGCATCAGGACAAAAATCCTTATCTTCTGATGGGTTTTGTTCCTGTACAATATGAAATATCTAATTTATTTGTTTGTATTAATATATTTTAAGGTAACTTTCTCTTTTTTTAGACAGAGTTTTGCTCTTGTTGCCCAGGCTGCAGTGCAATGACACAATCTCGGCTCACTGCAGCCTTCGCCTTCTGGGTTCAAGCAATTCTCCTGCCTCAGCCTCCTGAGTAGCTGAGACTACAGGCATGCTCTACCACACCTGGCTAATTGCGTTTTTAGTAGAGACTAGGTTTCACCATGTTGTTCAGGCTGGTCTCAAACTCCTGACCTCTGGTGATCTGCCCCCCTCGGCCTTCCAAAGTGCTGGGATGACAGGCGTGAGCCACCTCACCCTGCCAAGGTAACTTTTAAAAATACACATTGGCAGTAACCACTGAAAATTTGTCTGTCCTACTTTATAGTTCATAAGTATTTTTCCCCTTTCCATTTCTTCTCTAATCTATAAAGGTATCTGGGTGTGGTGGCTCACGCCTGTAAACCTAGCACTTTTTGGGAGGCTGAGGTGGGTGGATCACCTGAGGTCAGGAGTTCAAGACCAGCCTGGCCATCATGGCGAAACCCCATCTTAAAAAAAAAAAAAAAAAAAAAAAAAAAAAAGACACACATCTATAAAGGCTTCTGAGAGTCATCTTGCTGGAAATAAATTCAACCTTTTATAAATCTTCAAAGCACATTTAACCTGTATTATACTTAGGTATTTATCAGTCAGTATTGTTCTGCATTAAAGAATTTTTGTCTGCCTTTCCCTAGGTCTCCTAGTCATGAACTCCTGGAGACAGAAGTCAATACACACATTGTCCTGAGAACAACAACAAAATAAAAGCTTATGTACCAGGCACTGTGTTAGACCAGTGGTTCTCAAACTTTAACAATCATTAGAATCACTTGGAGTGCTTGCTAAAGTACTTATTGCGGGGTTCCATCCCCAGACTTTCTGATGCAGTGGGTCTGGCCCCGGGAACAGGAATTTGCATTTTTAACATACTATCAGGTGATGTCATTTTGAGAAACATTCTTCTGCATGGTCTAAATTTTAATATTTGCTGCTACTCCAGTAAGTCAGTTTTATTATTCCCATTTTCTTTCTTTCTTTTCTGTTTTTGAAACAGAGTCTCGCTCTGTTACCCAGGCTGGAGTACAGTGGTGGAATCTCAGCTTACTGTAACCTCTGCCTCCCAGGTTCAAGTGATTCTCTTGCCTCAGCCTTCTGAGTAGCTGGGACTACAAGCACACGCTGCCATGCCTGACTAATTTTTGTATTTTTAATCGAGATGGAGTTTTGCCATGTTGGCCAGGCTGGTCTTGAACTCCTAACCTCCAATGATCTACCTGCCTTGGCCTCCCAAAGTGCTGGGATTGTAGGCAGGAGCCACCGCACCCAGCCTATTATTCCCATTTTCAAAAGAGTCACAGAACTAGTCAATAGAAGAGATAAGATTGAATGTCCACCTTCTGATAGAGCTGTCATCTTCCCCTTAGCACACCGTCCCCTTTTCTTTGGAGTTTCTCTTATATACCATAAGCTCTCAGGAAATGTACACAGGATAGCCGGGTGTGTTGTCAAGCATATAGTTCTAACCACTCGGGAGGCTGAGGCAGGAGGATCACTTGAGCCCAGGAGTTCAAGGCTACAGGAAGTCATGATCTCCATGATCAAGCCACTGTACTCCAGCCTGGGTGACACAGTGAGATTCCTACTCTAAAAAAAAGGAGAGGGAGAAATGTACATGGAGGTCACTGAACTGTTAGAAGTGGAGACAGGTCTTTGCCTAGGTTCAGGTGTGATATTGGACAAATTACTTAACCTCCCTCCCACCATATCCTTCAACTTTCTCATCTGTGAATTGGAAATTCATAGTATTTTACCTGTAGTACACATTGTAGTTGACTCCCTAAAATGTAGTCTCTTCCTCTTCCCCTTTATAGCAATCAGTGTGATTCAGGGAATTGCCACAGCTCCAAGAGTAAATTATAATTTATTCAAATCAATCCAGATAACACTACTCCTCTGTATATGCCTTAGTTGATTACACAATAAAATTCTTTCCCACCTCCCAACAGCTACTGTTTAATAGATAAGTAACTGAATAAAGATAAGCTAACTAAAGTTAGAAGTAAGAGGATTTTTTTTTCACTTTCTTTATTGTTTGTAGAGGCATTCTCTCTCCTTTGCTCAACATAAATAAGGAGGTAATATCTGACAGTCCAACCTACAGAGAAGAATTGATGTAAAGAGGAATCCAGCACTGGATGTCAGGACAGAGGCAGAACTTGGGGACCTGGAGACAAGGCGGAGTCACAGGATCAGCCAAACCTTCTCTCTAAACTCTTAGTTACGTGAGCCAGTAAATGCCCCATTGTTTTACTCAATTGAACTTTGCTTTTTTTTCTTCCCATAACTTATAGTTAAGCACTCTGATAACCTACAACAAAGGACTAGTATACAATTAAATGAAGTAATGCATACAGAGGTTGGGCATGTAATAAAGACTTACCTCATGTGAGCTAAAATCACTATCAAGGCAATTTCTAGGCCCATTTAAGAGCACACGTGACCATAAATGCCATTGAAATCTCCCTTGGAAGTGTTCTCACCAGGAGGATTAGAGAAGCCAAAACAACCAGGTGAATATCTCTGTCAATGATAGACAACTTGGTATAATAGGAAAAGATTCTAGAATGTATGGGATTATGGAACAACAAATAGAGTTAACTTTAGAAAGGAGATTCACAAAATAAGTAGCAGGTATGGATATTGCTAGCCTGTAGCTGAAGAAATTAAGGTTCAGATTAAGTGAATTGCCCCAAGTCTCATAGCAGACATGGGCCTCGTCCAAACTTAGAGCTCATATTACTTGCAGAAGCCGTCTGTTCTCTTGGCTGTCCAGCAGGCCACCTTTTCCTTTAGGGCACTGCTCTCCTGCTGTATTACACATGTGATTTGTTTGGGGCTGCCAAAATATATTTGGTTATCTTTTTTTTCTCAGTAAGCTCATACAAAATTAATGTTTCTTCAATCATTACTTTGCATTTATTGTCATCATTTCACTCCCAAATGTATCAAAATTCAAGTTTAAAAGAAAAAAAAGGATAATAGAAGATATTGATTATCTTTTGGTCATAGGTAGTTTTATTATATTATCTTTTAGGATCTGGACTACACTGACCAGTGTGTTAGACAAACATTTTATGAGAATTGGCTAAAGATATAGGAAATAAATTCATCTGAAATAAAAACAAAACCAAACCCATTATTTTGTGAGTGGGGAAGAAGCTTGCAAGTCGCCGGAATATGGCTTGGACTCCGGTATGTGCGTGCATGATGGGGAGTGCCTTGGTCATGATGTTGTGTCATTGCTTCACTTTTGGCACTAAGTCACTACTCAGGAAAACCAGATTGAAAATTTGGAATCTGTGCTTCAGTGGATTGAAACTGGCCTCCAGTCACTAAGGAAAAAATCAAAACAAAACACACAAGAATTTAGAGAGGATATTTTTCTGCCAAAAAATAATTTTTCCTTGATGCTATTTCTTATTTGGGCCAATACTCCAATGGAAAAAATAGATAGATTGGTCAAGAGTTCAATATAATTTGCTGTGACATTTGACCTAAAGTAACATCATAAAAACTTAAAGACAGGAAATTGTATCCTCTCCTGCTGATGCATGTGCAACTATTTATCTCTCTTAAAAGAAAAAAGAAGAAAAAGAGAATTAATTGAATGGTATTTTGTTGTACTTGAAATGTTAACTCTCAAACTAATTTATTTATTCAGTAAATATTTCTTAAGCACCTACTATATACTGGTACTATATGCCAGGTATAGATGCTTGGGATACAGTAATGAGCAAAACAAAACCAGTAGCAA